TCTGTTGTTGGCTATAATAATAAACAAAAAATTACTTAATATACTGTACTGTTTTCTACAACTTCACTACAATACACCAAAGTTTACTGTAGTAAAAACTAAAGTATACAACTGTATTTATTACAGTATATATATTTACAGATTATATATTCAGTAAAGTATGATGCAGCATTCATTAACAGAGCCTAAATAACGTAAGATATACAGCATTATACACTATTAGTGTAGTTCAAAAACTATATAAACTATATATAAATTATTAAATTATGTGGTTGATGGAGTGTAGGCTGCTAGTCAGCTTTTAGGGCAAACTATTTAATTTGTAAATAGTGTGTCTGAAATGCAATCTATACTTGTGGAATAACAAAGACAAGCACATCTTTGTTAAGTTTTATTTAGATTTGAGCAACTACTAATGTGAATTGGTGGACTCCAGACATGGGACGATAACTAGTTTCAAGGTTTAAGGCAGTTTGGAAAAGTCACAGTTTTAAAACCGCCAGCGCTTCTGTTATACCATTCCTGAGGTATATTTAAGGTTTTTTTGTTGTTGTTGTTGTTTGTTTACATGCTTTTCACAACTATTTTATTTAGTTTTTTAGGGCAACAGTATCTTCAATAGAAAAGGAACCTCTACGTCAAAAGCTACTGTTCAAAAATATTTTAAATGTTTAGTAAAAAAAAAATTCTTGTATTCATCATCATTTATCCAGACATTTAAAAAGAACTTATTTTGGTAAACACAGTAATAATAACAAGACTGTAATACCGTGAAATTGTGATATTTCTTTTCCAAGGTTATCATACCGTCGGAATCTTATCACGACCCTTGCCTAAAGGACTCACATCACCTATTCATAGCAGTCAGAGAGTTGAATCTCAGACAAAGGTTCAGATAGTATTGCTCAACATAGACGACATATCTCTGATCAAGACCATATACAATCCATCCCAATAAAACATAAGTACTGTTTAATAACTGTTTCATGTTTTTTTTTCTTTTACTATTTATCGTTATTATAGACGATTATCATTGTCATTTGTTTTTTAAAAGTAATGTTGAATGTATACAGCTTTATTTGGCTGGTCACGTTTTTTTTAATAAATATGCCACAAGAATGAACTAGTTTGAATTTATTGTTGGGGGCAGAGAAAAATTTGGCAGGGCAAGTAAAAATCACTTTAAAATCTTTAACGAGTCCTGCCTAAATCTCAGTCTCCTATCCTGTCTGTTTGTCTCCTACTCATGTTTATCAAAGGTAACGTTATAAATAGATAAATATATAAATATATTGGATAATAGAGTTTAACAAATAGACATTGCAAAATTCCTAGCTAACTGGGTATGTTGAGTATAATTTTATATAATAATGTAATTGTTGTTTAGCTGACTGTGGCCCTGTTGTTGCTTGAGGGGGTTTGCTAGGTAAAGTATGTTACATTAATTGCGGATATTAAAAGAACCAACGTTAGACAAAATCCTGATCCAACTTAATCAAATATTTTTGGGCCGTTTTGTGAGGTTTTTGGGCTAGAACCCATCGACTCTCTCTGCTGATGGACCACGCTTGTCCCTCCGCCGCCAGCGTAAAGATCTCTGTAAAACGTTACCTTGTACAATTCGGACTCGAGAGAGGCTTGTTATGAAGGAAATTCGCCAATTACTGAACTACAACTCCCACTAGCACGCGAGCAACAAAACGTAAATGTAACTTACAACATGAATCCAGCAATCACTCACCACGTCTCTTGGTTGCTAAACTTTTTCGTAACCACTTTTCCTAACTCCAGTCCTAGACGGTCCGCAATTTTTTGAGACAGATCCTGGTGGGAGCTACCGCTGAAAATCTTGATGTTAGGCATGTTCTTTTTCTTTTTCCTCTTTTGTTTTCACCAGACCCGAGTGCACAAGCAAAATGGAATGCCTGCTTGCAAACACGCACACAAAACGGAGTATCGTTGGCGTATTGATCAGATATTTGATATCTGATGTTGATGTTACTAATATACTGTCATAGTTGATGCTCGACTTTACGCGCGTGACATCATCTGTCGACTTCTTCTTTGATGTTTTACGCCGTTTTGCAAACCAGCTATGGAAGCATATACTGCCACCTACAATGATGGAGTGTGAAGTAAATGGATAATTCACCCTAAAATGATTTGAGTCATCATTTACTACACCCTTTACTTGTTTCAGACATAAATGAATTTGTTTCTTCTGTTATACACAATAATATATTCTGAAGAATGCTGGAAAGCTGTTACATGTTCTGTATTTGTTTTCCCTTAGTCAATAGTTACAAGTTTTCATTCACTCACTCTCCTTCGGCTTAGTCCCTGATTTAGGGTTTGCTACAGCAGAATGAACCACCCTGGAATATGTTTTTTGTGGCATATGTCCTTCCACTCGCAACCCAGCAGAAACACACATATACATGTCTAATTCACACACACATTCATTCACTGGGGCCAGATTGTTTACCCAATTCACCTATAATGCATCAGGCCTGTAGCCAACCTAGTGAAAGGGTGGTTCCTTGTTTTTTTTTTTTTTTTTGCAGTTATCCGCCTCATTTTATATTTAATTATTATGTTAAATAATGCATTTTAGTGGCATTTTAAGCACAATTTTTAGCTGAATCAGCTTGCCGGATGGCTTTCATGATCACACCTTTTCATTTCATTTCATTTTCACATATTTTACATATCTAAGATTTAGAATAAAAGTTACTTGTAAAATGTTTTCTCTATTTAAAAATAGCCAAAAGTAGCGAAAGATGACTTTACTTGCTGTTGGATGTTGGGCTCATGAAAAATAATTGTTTGCATTGCAAACTGAAGTCACACTGAACCAATAACAACCAACAGAGAATTGTGCTTGGTCTTAAAGCCTTTTTTGATGGATTATTTTCCCTATTTATGATGACATAGCCGTCAAAATAGGACAAATGAGCTCATGTATGAGAAAACCCACATAACCATGAGAACATATAAACTCCACACAGAAATGCGAACTAGAATCTTCTTGTTTTGAGGCAACAGTGCTAAAGACTGAGCCACCATGCTGACCCAGGAAAAACACTCCTAAAAGTTTAAAATCACTTGTGGGTTTAGGTTAAAGTTTATTTAAAAACAATTAGTACATTTTCATTTTTGTGTGAACTATCCTTTTAGTGGAAAGTTAAACATAACCCAAACAAAAAAGCTTAATACAATAGCCTCTTCAAATTTTGTGAGTTAACCCTGTGTTTTATTAAATATTGCGTGACATATGTCAATTGATGTATCTTTATTTAACAATTTCTTTCTATTTGATTGTTTCTGCAAGTTGTATTCTCTCATGATCACATTCTATTATGTGTTCTGTTTTAGAATGATCAATGTTTTCCAATATAGGCTAATGATTGGTTAATTGTGTCCAATTCTAAGACAAGACAGCCTATGTTGTTTTCTTATATTTTTAATTCCTGACAGTTCTCCTTTAATTTCCAACTGTTTTTGGAAGGTGTCTTTCTTTACTCTCACCATCCCATTTCTTTTTTATGTCTGATTTAGGCTATCCATTGGAGGAATTAACTCTAAATAGGTATTTTTAACTATTGTTGTTTGCATTCTGTTGTAAAATTTTTTATAAAAAGACTTGTTTGTAGATAGCACTCTTTAATATTGAAAAGTAATTGGAACACTTCAGATTTATTGATCTTGTCCGCACAGAAGAGTCTTAAATATTGAAAAGTAATGGGAACACTTCAGATATATTGATCTTGTTCGCACAGAAGAGTCAAAAATATTCTAATGACTTTGCATTGTAAACACTGTTAAATAACTTGATGCTTATTCCTGCAGCAGCAGTCTTGATGCTGCAGATATATATATATATATATATATATATATATATAATCAAATCCTTTTTAAGCATGTCTTCTTTAAAATTACACAAATAGTATGTTAACTTAAGCCTGTGGTTGGCAGCCTACTTGAAGTTGACTAGCTTGAACAAAATAACAAGTGGAGGAGCGAGGTGATTCCACAGGCTCTGATGGGGAGATATATGGCAATGGTTGATACATTTTTCAGTCATTAAATTCTACCAGTAATAGGGTTTCTCAAGTATGAGAAAATTAATAAAGGGATGCAAAAGAGAATGTCGACCTTCTCTAAACACCCCTTTGACCACATAGAAAAGTGTGCTTCCATCAAAACAATTTGCCACAATTTTAACAAGCTGCACTGTAAACTGAAGTTATAAGTGCATGTATTTTGAAAGAAAGAAAGAAAGAAAGAAAGAAAGAAATATTATTTAACCAGTAGAGCAAAATAGGTCCAAGCTATCTAAAATTTTGATTAGTCAATATTGCAGAAAGAAATGAGAAAAAGCTTTAACTTATTTATTCAAAGTCAGAGTTTCTCACTTATGCAAAGTGAAGCAAGCTGTATCAGCTTGATTTAGTTGCAATAGGGTTAGATTAATTACCTCACAGTATTGGTAGGCTTTGGTGCATTTGTCATATGGTTTAATTAAGATTAATTAAACACGAGGAATGCATTTGTAACTGTATTTACACGTAAGTTTGTTAATTTGATAATACAGATAAGTAGATGATACAGATAATAAAATCAGGATTATAGAAACAGAGTTCAACCGTTAGATGTCAGTGTTTCGTTTTATATTATGATGTTGGAAATCGATTTCACTTTGATGTAACCACACATTCTGATAGTAATTTACGAAATTATTTATTGTTATTTATTGCACATTAGTTAATAACAAAGCTCGGGTTCATCTAACAGCTGGTAGCCTAACAATAATGAAAATAGAAAGACAAACGATATAAAATACGTGCCAGAGCCTACAGGTTTATAATAGCCATACACTGTTTTTTAATAAGTGAAAAAGGGAAAAGTTTGGAAATTTAGTCACTTTAAAAAGACTATTATGGTGACGTAAACGCGGAGGCAGGGTTAGCTTTAAAGACATCAAAACGAAGGGGCGTGGCGAGCGCGCGGGAATATTATGGTCCAGTGCGCATCGCAGGGTGCAAGAATGAGAGAGTGGAGAGGGTACCGCTATACTTAGCCTGCGAGAAATGGATCACGGGACTTTAATTTTGATTTGTTTTTAATTTTTTTACGTCTACTGTGTTGAATTGCGTTTTCTGCGTTTTCAAAACGAAATTTTGAGGTAATATTTGATAATAACGCGTACAGTCAGACCTTTGGATGATATGTTTTACCTGCGGTAGGTGTCTGTGAATTGGACGCGAGGGCATTCAGTTTTGGACATGAACAAATGAAATGGACATAATCTGAAACTTGAAGAATCAACGTGCTTGTCAGCATTTGACATTGGTGAGCTTTTCTGAGCCATGCAGGCTGGAATTTACAATCATTATGCATAAACTGTTTAACAGCTGTTGTGTACTGGTCACATGTTGCTAGTTCACTTATTTTAAACTTTATATACAGTTGTCAGTTCTGGACTGACCATTTGAAATCCTTCACCACAGGTTTTCTTTGGATTCTAAACTATGGATTTTTCTGAAAATGCCAGTGGCATTCCTGCAGAGGAACTAGCCTTTCCAGAAATTATTGAACTTAACGTGGGGGGTCAGGTGTATATAACCCGCTACTTAACTTTAACAAGTGTGCCAGATTCACTACTGTGGAAGATGTTCAGCCAAAAGAGCAGCAAGGACTTGGCTCGTGACACCAAGGGTCGTTTTTTCATTGACAGAGATGGCTTCCTGTTTCGTTACATTCTGGACTACATGCGAGACCAGCAGCTTGTACTTCCAGAACATTTCCCAGAGCAAGGGCGGCTGCAGCGAGAGGCAGAATTCTTCAACCTCCCTGAACTTGTTCAATTGTTGGCACCAAAGATCAGTAAGCAGAACACTTTGGGTGATGATGGCTGTCAGACAGACCAAGATGAGTCCTCGCCTGGTGCTAACATTGCCTGCAATCTGTCCTCTTTGGGTGCTTATTCCAGCCTGGGAGCAGCCACAGCTGACGGCCAGCGCTCCGGATTCATCACGATTGGATGCAGGGGCTCCTATACTCTTGGTCGTGATTGTCAAACTGATGCTAAGTTTCGAAGAGTGGCTCGCATTATGGTGTGCGGGAAGACTTCCCTTGCCAAAGAGGTTTTTGGGGAAACGTTGAATGAGAGTCACGACCCTGATCGCCAACCAGATCGCTACACATCACGCTATTACCTGAAGTTTACTTCCTTGGAGCAGGCATTTGACAGGCTAGCTGATGCCGGATTCCACATGGTAGCCTGCAACTCCACAGGCACTTGTGCCTTTGCCCATGTACAGACAGATGACAAAATCTGGACCAGCTACACTGAATATGTGTTCTACCGTGAGTGATCATACACCTGTGTTCCTGAATCTTCTCCCTGCCTCCCAGACCAGTCATAACCTATGAATATAGAAGCTTCTAGATCACAATCTTCACCCCTTCACCAGACTTTCCTATTAAAGAGCCCTTCTCCTCTACTGTGCTCAAGTGACCTTTCTTTCCATCCAAAATAGAATACCTTTTCCTTTCAGGTTTTTGAATTTAATAGCTAATAATTGTGCAGGGTGATATAATGCCACCTGAGGTGGGACGTATATGAGGTGGGGCCTGAGTACTGGGGACCTATATGTAAAAGGGGATATGATCTGAGCTGTTATGTCATGCTCAAAACTGTTTTTTTAGGCCTACCTGAGCGTCCAGTGCAGTTTTACATCTTGTTAAGATCTCACCATTTTTGTAAATAGTAATAACTTTTCCTATACATTATTTGTTTTGCTCTATATTTAAATGGATTATTGAGATGCATTGTGTTTTATTTAAAATTATTTTGATCATGAAGAGGACAATACTTCATAATCAATAAGATATTTAAATTTTATTTAAACATTTTAATATGGTTTTATACAGTGACTAATTGCTCTATTCACATTCATTGCAACCGCAGGACACAATCGCCACAACCTGTTACAAATCCACAAAACGTCCTAGTTTATGAGATGTCATTTGATATTACAAAAATCAATCAGTAATTTCTGTTAGGATTAAATATTAAACGTAATCCTTCATATTCATTTCCTGATAGTCTTTTAAAGGTTCTGCTTTAGCTGTGTCTTAAGTGAAATGCTAGCAGAAAGGTGTTTTTATTAAAACACGAATAGAACAAATTCATTAATTATCTATTTTTGTCCTAATTGTAAAACATACAAATGTATTATATAGTAGTGTGTGTGTGTGTGTGTGAGAGAGAGATCGAAGATTAGCTAAACAGGCAAACATATACAAACACCTTTTCCACATGTATGTCCATTCAGATTTATGAAGGGTCTAGATTTGCACTGATTTGAATAATAAAAACATTGCATCTGATTATTATGAAATATTGGCCACATCATTCAGTTATCATGCTTCTCCTCTGTGTTGCTTTCATGTTGCTGTTCCATTCTGTCTGTGGTTATTTCAAAGCACAAACAGGCAAGGCCAGAAAGAAAACCAGGACAAACCTATAACCAGCTTAGTCAAAGCAGATTACTCAACCAGCCTTTGTGTTCCTATGACCAATTTATCTAATTAAGATTGTGCTGGCACGCTGAGCAGCTTACATTTTACTCAAGGAGGTAGGCAATAGAGTTATTAAAATACCTTTTCAGCTCAATAAATATATACATTTCAAAAATGTAAGTGACCTAATATCATTGACAGAGCCAAAATATCAAGTGTCCACACTCTGTAGCCTTACTTCAGTATACATTGGGGGGAAAAAGTATTCAACTCGTCATGTTTTTTTTTCCTGTGAATAATGTTCCCAAAGGAGCTGTTGACATGGAATTGAATCAGTTTTTGTTAAAAGGTCAAACAATACAAACATCAAACTATAACAAAACTATTTTTTAAATGTTATTTTTAATAACAATGTAAAATTATGATGGTTCTGTGGGTTTTGTCTATCCAAACTGATCTTAATTTTGTATGTTCAATTGGATTCAAGTCAGGTGATTGGCTGGGCCATTCTACAGAGTTTCATTGGCTGTGTTCTGAATCATGTCTTGTTGAAATGTCCACTCTGGTTTCATCCTAATCATCCTGGTAATGTAGATGTTGGACTGTTAATTTATTATAATATTAATTTAATATTCATCTACAATGACGAAGGGCAGAGGGTTGCTAAATAACTACTGAGAGATTTCAGCTACTGTCTGGGCTTTCACTGCCTCTTTACACCTCTCTTTCTTCATGTCTTCAATGCTTTTTGTGTTATTTCATTTTATTACACAGAACTTAATTTAACTAATTAAATTTTTTTTTTGCATTTGTGGATTTTTTTGGTTGTTATTAACATCGGGTGAAAATTTCACACCTAAGTCAACAGTCAACAGCACCTTTTAAAAACTGAGAAAAATTATGACTTTTTGAATACTTATTTCCCCCATATGGGCAATGTTTTTAACTAAACCCTGCTCCAAAAGTTTATAGATAAAGTAATGAACTCCATTCAATTTGTAACGTTTTAGTTTAGTAGCTAATTTGTATTATTTTGTCATTTTATTTTGTTAATTTATTCTCATTTGTACATTTTAGTAGGATCTGCTAATTTCTCAATGAGGTGAAGGTTTAGGGTAGTGGTTTGGCGACATACCTACTTTTTTTAAATGAACAAAATAAGTATGTATTCATACAAATTATCCACTTTTTTGGAGAAAACAATGAAAAGCAAAACACTTAATGTGGCTAATGCATTAAGTCAGACTGTTTATGTAATGATGTTTATTGAATAAGGCAAACATGTAAAGCCAGAATAAATTTGCTGTGTAAGAACGACATGTTAAGTATTTTCACAATGGCTTAGTTTTCTGTAATGAATATTTTGGCTTAGTCCCTTATTTATCACGGGTCGCCACAGCGGAATAAACCACAAAATATGTTTTACGCAGCGGATGCCCTTACAGCCACAACCCAGTATTGGAAAACACCCATACACTATAGCATCACACACACACACTCATACACTACTGCCAAATTTAGTTTACCCAATTCACTTACACTGCATGTCTTTGGACTGTGGGAGAAACCAGAACATCTGTAGTAAACATTCAAATTCCACACAAAATTGCCTACTGGCCCAGCCAAAACTCGAACCAGCGACATTCTTACTGTGAGGCGACAGTGCTAACCACTGAGCCATTGTGACAATTGACATCGTGAATCATCTCTGACATGACAATAAGTTCACTGTACTCAAATGGTCTCCACAGTCACCAGACCCTCAATCCAATAGAGCACCTTTAAGAACGTGATTTTCGCATCATGGATGTGCAGCGACAAATCTGCAGCAACTGCGCGATGTTATCATATCAGTATGGATTAAAATCTCTGAGCAATATTTTCAGTACCTTGTTGAATCTATGCCACGAAGGATTAAGGCAGTTCTGAAGGCTAAATGGGGTCCAAGCTACCCGCTACTAGTAAGGTGTACCTAATAATGTGGCCAGTGAGAGTATATTATGGCTCAGAGGTAGGGAACCTATGGCTTGGCAGCCACATCTGGCTCTTTGACCAAAAATCTGTGGCTCTCCAGCTGTCTCTCTTCAATAATATTTTAAATTTTAAAAAATTCACTAGAAATTTGTTTCCTATTAAAAGTACTAGTACAATACCATTTTTATTGTGTTTTCTACAGCAAAATGAATATGAACTCAGTTTACAATAAAATGACTTTTTAGCCAATGCACATATGTGATGCTGTGGTTTAATTTGAATCATGACACAAATAAAGGCCAAAAAATTTACATTTCTATTGTGACCTCCCGTATGTAAATTCAATCAACATTCATTAGTGGCGATGGCAAAAAGAAAAAAAATCAATAAATTCCCTTTTGTTCATACATTGTGATGCGTTACATTTGTTTATTTTTCTTCTTGTTTAATATTCTTTGTGCATGAACATAAATAAAGGTTTTGTTTATTAATATATAAAGGTTTTGTTATATACACACCCTAATGACTCTTTTAAAAAATACACTTAATAAAAAAAATCAGATATGGCTCTTTGCAGAAAAAAGGTTCCAGACCCCTGTTATAGCTAAAACAGAGAGAAGCTATTGTCAGTGTATGGTCAACACACATAGGGGCACTTTCTTTCATTTAAAGGGCCAATTCTTCTCAGAGAGAAAAAGGGCAGGTGCTCAAGCACCCAAAGCCCCCCTTCCTCTGCTATTAGGGGCTATTAGGTATTAGGTTCACTTACTAGTACTGGTTTGAACCCCATTTTGCCTTCAGAACTGCCTTAATCCTTCATGACATAGACTCAATAAGGTACTGGAAATATTCCTCAGAGGTTTTAATCCATACTGACATAATAACAACACACAGTTGCTGCAGATTTGTGGGCTGCACATCCATGAAAATATCCCCCACACACCACCACCAACACCAGCCTGAACTGTTGATCCAGTGCAGGATGGGCCCATGCTTTCATATTATTGAAGCCTAATTCTGACCCTACCATCGATGTCACAGCAGAAATTTAGACGCATCAAATCATGTTTTTCCAATCTTCTATTGTCCAATTTTGGTGACCCTGTGTGAATTGTAGCCTTAGTTTCCTGTTCTTAGCTAACAGGAGTGGCACCCGGTGTGGTCTTTTGCTGCTGTAGCCCATCTGCCTTTAGGTTTGACGTTTTGTACGTTCAGAGATGCTCTTCTGCATAGTAACGAGTGGTTATTTGAGATACTGTTGCCTTCTTCTGTTGTTAGCTTGAACCAGTCTGACCATTCTCCTCTGACCTTTGGATTTAACAAGGCACTTGCACCCATAGAAATTCTATTTTCTCTTTTTCAGACTACTCTCTGTAAACCTTAGAGATGGTTGTGCGTGAAAATCCCAGGATCATCAGTTTTTGAAATAGTCAGAAAAAAAATCCCAGGAGAATGCATATACTGTACAAATAATAGTAGCTTTTTCATGGATGTAGATAGCAAGAAAATAAAGGCAAACAACACACAAATGTCCTTGTAACACTAGGGTGCTAGACAACAGGGTTGAGAAGCCACATACAGTTTTATTAAGTAGTCAGACAGGCAATGGTCAGACACAAGAGCAAATGGGTACATACAAGACAATTCGGAAGCATTGTCAGGTCACAGGCAAAAGGTCGATGCAGGTGGCAGACAGCATAAACAAAAGAACAAGGCAAGGGTCAAACACAGAGAGACGAAACAGGGAACCGCTTCATTTGTAGTTCATATTGTGGCAGATTTGTAGTCATGGTAATTCTTGATAATGATAATGCATGTTTTCTGCAGTGTATAGTTAATGAAGGAGAAAGATGTCTGCTTAAAAATGACAGTACAGCATATGAGACACAAATATTTAATAATACTCCAGTCTATACAGACTGGTCAAAAACTCCCCTCTTAGATTATACAGAAGCAGTGGGATATATATGAAGAGTGTATTTGCAAAAACAGATAACTCCATTTTAGTCATTTTGAGATACAGTATCATGTTTTTATGTTGTGCATTATAGAGTACAATTGCAAAAAAAAAAAAAAATCTGTGAACAACTTATTAAAAGTAACTCTTCATATACCACCCTTTTAAAACATAAGACTTTTAAGAGGTTGAGTAATCATTTTACAGAATTTATTGCACTTTTATTGGCCACGCAATGGGTGGAAACACAATCAACAGATATTGTATTTTCTTCCAACATTAAATGGTTTAAACTGTAGATCATCTTCAAGACATGACTTTCTGTGTGAAAATTGTACAGAATTACACTACAATCAAACACAGTAGAAGTACTGTACTTCACTGAGAAAGGTATGATCTAAAAGAACTATTGATGGAAGGTTTGCGAATAAATTTTACACTTAAAATTGAGGTATTTGGTATTTTATTTTAACATTTAAGTATATTTTTTGTATTTTTGCTCTAGATACACTATTTTGTTAAATAATAAGCATAGTTTTATAATCATCGGCTAAAAACGGTCTGATGTTGTTCACCTCAAATCAGTTCACAAAAACTCCAGCAGACATATTGTTACACTATTCCACTGATCTTGTAGGCTAGAAGAGGCTTATTCATAGCTGGACTAGTTTTGTAGATCATCACCTTAGAATTATAAGGTTCTATCTGCGTTCTGAATGATTTTGAGCTTCAAAATTTTTGCATTTCATATCAAGCAGTATGTGTGTAACATTTGTTTTTTTTTAAATAAAAAAGTCTTAAAATGTAAACAACTTAAAGACATTCCATAATGTAAAAATGCTGTCATTTAATAAGAATATGTCAATAACTCATTTTTGACAAAAATGTTAGATAGAACCATATAATTCTAAGGTGACGAGATTATGCAGTCGCTTACTGGGTAATGTC